GGTTGAGTCACCATTGTGTCCGAGTTAGTCCCAATCTGTTCTTCATACCAAACAGCCCTAGCATAAGAGAATGTGAAGAAGAGATGATGAAAGGTTTCTTGTTGCTGTAAACAAAAACAACAAATTTGATCATGTGGAGATAGCCATTTAGCACACTTGTCCTTTGTTAATACACCATCCCGTAATGCTTTCCAAACAAAAACTTGGCATCTACAAGGGATCTTAACCTTCCAAAGCAGATTCCAATTGAAGTGAGGGGCTGAAGGGGAAGGCAATAATGAGAGAAAACTTTTATATGCAGACTTAACTGTATAAACCCCAAAATTGGTTCTTTTCCAAATCATTTAATCCCTTACTAGATCTGTATGAGATTTTATTTGTGTGATGTGACTCATTGTAGCCTCATCAAAGAATTGTTGCAGCACTCTTAGATCCCATTACCTTCCCCACTTAGAAGGTCTGCTACCTTTGGCTTCAAGGTATGTGACTCACATGTAGGACTTGGTAGCAGTATTCCACTTGGAATAGTTGGTAACCAAGGATCACCAAAAGTTGATATAGATGAGCCATCCTATACAATCCATAGTAAATTTGGCTTTAAATCACCTAATAAACTATGGGCTTGTTTCCACCATTTAAAGCTTTGTTGCCCTTTCTTTGCCATCAAGGGATTACATTTAGCAAAATATTTTTTCTTAATTAGTTGGCACCATAGATTGCTCTGTTGAGTAAAAAACCTTCATATCTGTTTGTTGAACATGGCTTCATTCATTTGTAGGCTCTTCCTGAATCCTAGTCCTCCAGCTGCTTTAGGAAGACATAATTTTTGCCATGAGATAGTGTGTTTAACACTATGTGATTCAGCTTGCCACCAAAAGTCCCTTGTGAGTTTGCCATATTGGGTATGAAATGTATTAGGAAGAATCATAGATTTCATTGCGTAATTTGGAATGGATTGTATGACTGACTTCACTAATGTGGTTCTTCCTGCTTGAGAGAGTAGCTTTGAGCTCCATAAATTAATTCTAGAGTGTACGCGGTTCAGCAATTCTTTGTTAGAAAACTGATTTCTAGAATTTATTTCCACTCTAGAACCTAGGTATTTAGTGCCCCACATGATACTCATCTTGAGAACTTTGGCGAAGAACTTTTGATGCTGACGAGGTACGTTTCTGCTAAACATCAAACTTGATTTCCCATAATTGATTCTCTGTCCTGATATCTTCTCAAAGTTATAAAGTATTTATCTAAGGGCCTTGTTTTGCAGTAAATCAGCCTTACAGAAAAAGTATACAGTCATCAACAAAGAAGAGATGTGTGATAGGTGTGCCAACACAACATAATTTGATACCTTCTATGAGACCTGAACTGGCTGCACTGTTTAGTAATTGGGTGAGGAACTCCATGCCAATAATAAATAAATAAGGTGAGAGTGGGTCTCCTTGATGAAGGCCTCTTTTGAGATGAAAGTGGCCATGGGCTTCTCCTAATTTGATGGAAAAAGAGGGAGTGAAGATGCACTGATATATTAGATTGCACCATTTATTGGGAAAATTCATTTTATGAAGAGTCTCTTGTAAAAACTCCCACCCCATTCTATCAAATGCTTTTCACATGTCAAGTTTGAGGACTATGCATCACTTACCTTTTTTATGAGCCTTCATCATGTGTGTAACTTCCCTTACTAAAACAATGTTATTGACAATTTGCCTCTCCTTTAAAAAACTTGACTGAAATGGCAAAATAATCTCTTGCAACACAGGTTGTAATCTCATGACTAGGGGTGTTTACATTAAATGTCAAACCGACCAAACCGGCCCGACCCAACTCAAGTTGGTCAATTTTTCAAAACCACTTGTTGGTTTCAGTTTGTATGAGAAAATAAACCGACAACTCGACTCGATTTCGGTTTTCATATATGAAAACCGAAACTAAACCGAACCAAACCGATCCCATATGTTTAAGTAATTATTAATTAATCCCTACCCTATATGTTAAATGTTGATACATTTTATTTGTGTTTTGTTTGAACTTTGAAAAAAATGGTTATTTACAATAAAAATTAAAAACATAAAGCCAATACAAATATAATACAATGGTACAATATTTAATTCAGTTTTGTATAAATTTAAATATATATTGACAAAAAATCAGTGTTGCACAACAAATTAATTGATTTAAATATATATTTTGATTTTGCATAAAAACTAAAAAGAAATAAACTTAAATATAAATAGATATTTTAGTTTAAAATATATATATATATATATATATATATATATATATATATATAAGCCGACTAAACCGATAAACCAGCCCTTCATGTTTGGGTCGGTTTTACTTCAGGGTCGATTGGTTTCAATTTAGTCAATAATTAAATGGACTAAATCGGGTCAGTTGAAGAAAATGACTCAAACCAACCCATGAACACCCTACTCATGACTAGCCATTTGGAGATGATCTTGTAGAGCACGTTGCAAAGGCTAATCCCCCTTCCCATAAGCCCCCAACCCTGGTGCTAATCCATACAAAGAACAAACCTTGGTACTAGCAACATTTGATCCTAGGTCACTACAAGTTTACAACGAATTAGAGGAAAAGATTTTTATCGACAAGAGATTTAGAGGCAAGATATTGCTTGTTTTTACCAAAAAAAACAAAATATTATAGAGGCAAGATGAGTAAATGGATAGATTTTACCCTAATCAAATGAAACCAATTTCTGAATTGGCCTTGAACCAACCGTGTCCAATTTATTATTAGGTAGGGTCTGGTTGTAGATTCTTGAAACCGATCCCAACTATGATGGTTTCAAATTTTAGAACTGGATAAGGATTTACCATACCTAAATCGATCAAAGAGCTGACCTTGATTAGCTTTAGTGGAACCAACTTCAGAGCCAAATTTAGCTCAAAATACCCATACCTATCTTTGGTTCATGGACATGGTTCAAAGTATTGATAATATATAGGATGTATTAGATATCATTTTTTATTACTTTTGAAGGGCTACACTGTGGGGGTAGCCCATTCCCCAATCCAGTTGTAGGCAGGATTCGACCCCAAGTCTCCATTATAACCAGCAAGAGACCTTATGAACCAGCTGGTTGGCACCTCGCAAAAATGTATTAGGCAATATCATATTGGATTTTAGGGTAAATGCCCCGACCTTTTACACTATACAAGGGGGAGGGAGAGGGGAAGTGTTGTTTTGCAAGGATGTAAATTCCACGGAAAATGCATTTTTACTCGTCATAGGTGGATAAATCATCGAACTAAAATGCACTCAATAGCACAAAGGAATTGGGGCGCTTTTGAGAAATTGTCTCACTTATTCAAGTAGCAGCATTTTTTTGGCACACAAAAACAGCTTCATTGAGAAGCTAAATGTCGTAAATCTTTCCACGGATAAACTCATCTACCCGAGTAAATTGTAAAAGGGATAAGTGGATTGCAATCCACCTCAAAAATCTGAATTTGCAGCCCCCTCCTAATCTACTAGTAACCCCCCCCCCCCTCCCTATAAACCACATCCTGCCCATAAACTTGGTATCAATTCATAGGCAGATTCAGTCCACCCCTAAAAATCTTAGCTCCATCCTAGGCATGGACTGAACTAAAAAACCCCATTGTAAAAATGTTTTCGAGAAAAGAACAGGGCCTAAATCGAGTTAAGGCCATTTAGTAGCCACTTTCACTTATTAGGCATATCGATACTTTATCCTTGTAGCTGCAGGAATTTGATGATCTAGTCAGTAGTCCTCCAAATGAGAAAACCATTTTTTTATCAGGAGCAAACCAATTTTTTTGAGATTGATGTTAACCAAATCTCTTTATTAGCTAAAAAAAAAATTAAGGTAAAATATAAAAACCTTTCCTGAGTTTTCTGACAATCTTATAACTCCCCCATGTTTTGATTTTAACAGAATCCTCCCCTATAGTTTTGAAAAAAGCTATAAATACCTCCCTTCCATTAAAATTCCGTTAACTTAAAAGAGGAATTTACTAAAATACCCTTAAATACTACCAAGTCATCCTCCTCTTTTATGGGATTATCCTTCTACGTCAAATTCAACAAGAACAGAGCAAGCTTCTCTTTGAAACAAAAACATCTCCACAAATTCATTGGCAACATTCCCGTAGGTTTCAGCAAGATTTTAACAGACAGTTGATAATCTTAATTTAGATTCCATGTTTGGTTTCTCTAGTTTATCAAGATTTTTGCTCTTGGGGATCAATCCGTATGAAAGGCAATGTCTTTGACTTTGTTCATGTTAAATTTAATAAAACAATCCTGGTCAAATTGAGAGAAATAGGTTGGCGCTTAATACTTAATAGAACCTTGAAATATTTTTTTTTATGTTTTATGATTTGAGATCGTGTTAGGAATTTCTTTGAACACTTGAAATATTGTCACACATCATATGAACGCATTACAAAGATGAATTCAGTACGGTTGAAGCTTTTTGGGTAGATTAAATAGTTCTGAGAAATGGCTATTAAATTACTTAAATAGTGAAAGGAATCGCTTAGAACCATTTAACAGGCATCTCCACAAAATCCCTAGACTGTGGTTCTTATTTGCCTGTCACTTGAAAAAAAAAACCAGAAAATGAAAAAAAAAAAAGAAAAGAAAGAAAGAGAATGAAAAAGAAAGAGAGGAATAAAAGAAACGGGAAATTAAGAAAATGCAAAAAATAAATAAAACAGAGCAAAAGGAGAAAAAAAAATGAGTGACGATTGGTGAGCTCAATTGAGACAGAGAAGCGGAAAAAACAGGGGTAGGAGAGTGGTTGGCTTCGGTTACCACTTCAAGGGTAAATCTGGTATTTTAAGAAAATTAATGTATTACGTTAGGATTTTCGGCCAGAAAAAACTAATAAGAGGGAGGTACATGCACCATTTTTCAAAATTATAAGGGAGGATTCTGTTCATACCAAAACCGGGAGATTTATAAGATTGTCAAAAAACTCGGGAGGTTTTTGTATTTTACCCAAAAAATTAAAATAAGTTTTGCATGGGAGCATCCAAGTTGGAAAAATAAGGATTATGATCTGTTTAACATTTGAGTTTTGAGGTACAAATTTCTTCCTGTATGGGGTCATATCCAGAAGCAATCTAAACACCTAAGCAGCCAAGAAGATCTAACCGTAAAGCTATCTATCAAAGAAAAAGATCTAACTGTAAAGCTATCTAACAAAAAAAGATCTAACTGTAAAGCTATCTAACAAAAAAAGATCTAACTGTAAAGCTATCATTTTTCTTTCTCTGAATGAGCTTCCTAATTTCTGTTCTTTCAAACCAAAACCATCAAGACAGCTCCGTAATCACACGCTCACACTTGTCTTCCAAGATCTTCACAGCTTCAGTAAATAGCACTTCTGGAGGCAGTGCTCCAGTTGATTCAATAGTAACTGGAAAGAAAAACAAGAACAAACATCAAAACTTCAGTTTATGCAAACCTTTTCGGCGGCCAAAATAAAATGTAAAAATAGCTTCCAAAACCTAAATATGAAAAAACAGAATCTACTTTGGCAAAATACAGATAGTAAAGTATCCGGTTTTCAATGACATGCTTACAGTCAGCCCTGTTTTGAGTCTCCATATAGGTGACCAAAATTAGGAGTTAAAGTCAGCACAGGTCGTATAGGTAGTAGTTGGCTAGTGTCAGATTCAGTGAACCCAAAAATCACTAAACAAAGATTTATCAATTTGGCATTTTTTATGGTGTAAATAAGAAACCAACTAGAAGTTGAACATGTGCCACAACTCCTGTCTCCTGCAAATGTCATTCAACTGGATTTTACCAATTCAGGAAGCATCTGCTTGGATTTGGTAATGGAAGTATGGAATGTCTGCTTGGATGGACCATAGCCAAAAAAAATGGATAGACCCAGCAATCAAATTCAAATATGGGTCTTTTCCTTTAGGTACTTTATCAGTTTAAGTTGTAACTGTTTGGTGCAGCTCTAGTCTTTGATCCACCTAATGGATAGGTTATTCGACGTTTTGGTTAAAACGAGTCAGTGGTGGAAACAGTGCAAAGGTGCAAAGAACCCATATGGCATCCCATGTCAGCATCATGAGATTCTAACAATCAAGCAAAGGGGAAAAAATGTTTCATCAATGAAATATCAAGGGGTGTTCTGCTTAGCTATTACTTGTTCAAACACATCAAATTACTTACAGATGAAATGGTCTTTAACACGTCTTAAAGCTACACGCTTTTCCCAATCTTCCCCTCGAATGCATTCTCTGCACAGGGTACAAGCTCGTGATCGGGCTACAGTAGCCCGCTTCTTACCTGCTCATTATGAAGACATCAATCAGAAAAAAAGGAAAGCATGTAGAAGGTAGCAATGAAACCACAGCAGGAACATCCATAATTTCAGAAAGGATATGAATCACCTTTACCAACATCTTCTATGTCAAATACATTAACTGGACATTTTTTTACCAGTTCTTCAGCCATCTCATCCTCAACTTCTTGTAATAACACAACCTAACCAGACAAGTGAATGGAACTCAGAATAGATTTAAACTCTTTCTAGGACTGAACAGCTTTGCAGTGCAGTTACAAATTGTACGAGTCAAGGTCCTTATATTACCTCAGGAAGCATTCTATACCAAGCTGTGGACACAGGGGACCACTTGGCATGAGTTTTACCCATGCCTTTTACAGCATGTGCTTCAAGTTCAATTTCCTGCAAAAGGAGACATCTTGGATGAGGAAGTTTAATGAATTTATAAAAGCCAGTGAGTTAAAGGAATTCCCACTCTTGCAATCTAGGTACACCTGGTCAGCTGGTCCAATTTTCCGGCATAGTTTTCAAGGCGCCAAGGCGAGGCTAAGCAACAGGGGGGCGCCTTGTTGCCTAGGCAATGGATTTTTTTTTTAAGTAAAAACATGTATCCTAGGGTAGTTCCCTAGGTTCCATAATTATATTTCATTAATAAATATCCATAGTTTTCATAAGAAAAGTATAAACTTCATGTTAAAGTATAGAAAATCAACATATTCCAACATATTCATGAGAAGAAAAAGAAGAAAGAAAAGAAAATTCAAAAAATATAGGGGCTGAACCCCTATTTCTGTTATAGGAAAAGAAGAAAAGAAAAGGTGGAAGAAGAAGAAGAAATTAATATATAAACACACAAAATTAGTAAAGAAAAAGAAGAAAATGTGTTGATTGGACAATATTTTATGTTCTTCCTTACTTATTGGTTCAGGTTTTGAAGTCTTTGAGGGTTCAATACAGCATTTAGCAATGTTTGTGTTGATTAAACCCTAACAAATAAAAAAAATAATAACAAGAAATTAGTAGATAAACATTAATGTTTTAGTTTAAAAATGTCTATTTTATAACTATAACCTCAAAAAATTAAGAATATAAAAGTTTTTTATAACACGCTATAGAGAACTGCTTGGCAATTAGGTGAGGCGAGCCTCCAAGGGCGCCTTGTCACCTAGGCGTCGCCTTGACAACTATGTTTTCAGGAAATCCCACTTTGTTCAAAAGTGGATAGATTCCTCTTCAATGTGGAATGGAAGAGTCATTGGGGAGATTTGGTGTCTAGAGCTTTGCCCAAAGCCACTTCTGACCATTGCTCTATTAGTTTAGGTTCAGAGACTATGCTAGTTGACCCAGACCTTTTGGGTTTGAGAACATGTGGTTAACAAACCATACTTCCTAAGCAAAGTGAAAGTTTGGTGGAATGAAGATTTGAGAGGGGTTAAATGGAAGGGGATTAGATTTCACAGAAAATTGCAAAGGTTCATAGTCAATTTAAAAGAATGGAATAGAGACCATTTTGGGAGAGTTGAGAAACAAAAATTGGCCATGGGATACTAAGGAGTCTCAAAGGAACTTGAATGAGCAAGATAGACTTCTAAGAAGGTAGTTGAAAAAAAGAACTAGAACAAGAGAGGATTCTTGGAGGCAAAAGTCAAGGCACAAGTGGATTAAGGAAGATGGTGAGAATACCAAATTTTTCCATGACATGGAAAATAGAAGAAAATTTTAACGCTAACACCTATATGGCACTGATGTGGTGGCATTTTTTCAATAAACACCCACAGAACCAAACATCACCATAGTCAGCCCAAGAGTCTATGCCACTTTCTTGACCTTAGTCCCTAAGAGGTCTGATGCTAATCACCTGATAGACTTTAAACTGATCAGTTTGGTGACTAGTATTTATAAAATTTTAGCTAAAGTCCTTTCTTGAGGATTAAAGAGGTCCTTGCTTTTCCCATTAGTCAACCCCAAAGAGCCTCCATACAAAGAAGACAAATAATAGATCAGATTTTGGTTGCTAATGAATGTGTGGAGGAGCTGACGAGATCTAGGCAAAAAGGCTTTGTATGTAAATTGGAACTTGAAAAAGCTTATGATTTGGTGAACTAAGAGTTCTTAATAGAGGTGTTGAGAAATTATTACTTTGGGGAAAAATCGTGTAATTGGGTGTTTGGTTGCATTAGCTCACCACTATTCTATTTTGGTGAATATAGTGGTGAAGGACTTCTTCCCAACTTCTAGGGGTGTTAGGCAAGGTGACTCTCTTTGTTTCTATTCATTTTAGTAGCAGATGTGTTTATTAGGCTGATCTCATCTGTTGATAGGGAGGACTTGATAAGAGTTTGGAGGTTGGAAAGTAATGATTTTCCGGTTACACACCTTTAGTTTGTAGGTGATACAATTATTTTTGTGAAGGGGTGAATATCGGAAAGGTAAGGAATTTGAAATGCTTTCTAACCTGAAAATTAACTTGGATAAAAGCTGCATAGAAAGGATTAATATGGAGGGTAGGAAAGTAGACGCTATTGTGGCTTGCTTAGAGTGTTCTATATCTGGTTGGCCTTTGAAGTATATGGGCCTTCCATTAGGAGCCAACCCTAGGGAAAGTGCGTTTTGGAACCCAGTAGTAAAAAACATTGAGAAGAGACTAGTTTTGTGGAAGAAGAATTGTATCTCTTTGGGAGAGTGTATCACTCTGATTAGGACTACTCTTGCCAATTTTCCAACCTACTTCCTCTCTATCTTTAGGATCCCACCTAGAGAAAGCCAAGAAATTAGAGGAACTTATGAGGGATTTTTTGTGGGAACCGGGGGAAAGCAAGACAGACCATCTAATTAACTGGGAGATTGTGTACAAAAGTAAAGAGGAAGGGGGTTTAGGCATAGGAAATGTGGTACAAAAGAATACAACGTTATTAGGAAAATGATTGTGGAGGTGGCCTTTGGAAAGAGGGAGTTTGTGGCATAAAATGGTGGCAAGTATTCATGGTTGTTTAGAGAATGGTTGGGATGCCGGTGTATCTTGTCAACCACATTGGCAACACCATTGAAGGCAATTCACAATATTCTTTTCCATTTTTTCAGGTATGTTAGGTATAATGTGTGTTTCAGGAATTTTGTTAATTTTTGGGAGGATGTTTAGGTTGGGGATTATGCTTTAAAAGACCTTTCTCCTTCCCTATATTCCATCTCTTTGTACAAAAAGGAGGTTGTGTCCAAATTTATCCCCACTCCAAGTAACTCCTTTGGCCCCAACTTGGGACTTTGGTTTTCATAGAGGACTAAGGGATGAGGAGATTGGTTCCTTGTCTAGTTTGTTGAGTACCCTTAGTAAGGTTTGTATGGATCCCTCAAAACCAGACAAAAAGGATTTGGTCTTTACTTCCCAAAGGGTCTTTTTGTGTGCCTCTTTTTTAAATCCCTTTGTCAGCTTCATTCTTCTCAGTATTTTCCCTTTAAGGAAGTTTGGTGTAGGCTTTTTCCCCTAAAGTTAGTGTTTTTTGTTGGGAAGTGTTCTATGGGAAAGTAAACACCTTTGATAACTTACAAAAGAGAAGACCTTTCCAGTGCATCTCACCTAATTGGTGTGTTCTTTGTAAGTATAACAGTGAAGATTGCTATCATTTACTAATTCCTTGTTTGGTTATTGCATAATTATGGGGTTCGCTTTATCTTTGTTTGGGTGTAGGTGGACAGTGGACTTTGTCATTAGAAGTTATCCATTATCATGCTATTTGATTCCCCTACCTTTGCTTGGCCTATAAAAAGAGGAAAGTGTATGGAGGTGTGCTAGAGCAGCTTTACTGTGGGCCATTTGCAAAGAAAGGAACACAAGAATCTTCCGAGAGGAGAGAAGCCTATAAGAGATGGAGGATTGTTTGGTGTATAGGGCAATCCATTTGTTAAAAACTTTGGAAGTATTCATTCCTTTTTCCTTTGATGATCTCTAGAGGAATTGATCTTCTGTGGCAAGTTGCTCTTCCAGAAAGAACAGATTACCAGTGACTTGGACACTCACCCTGAAGGCTATGTAAAACTAAACTCTGATGGAATGGAAGAAGTAGTCTTAGTAATCCAGGCCCGTCTGGTATAGGTGGGGTCCTCAGAAATGAAGTTGGGAATATTTTATCTTTTTCCTCGGGTCTGATGGGAGTTGGAAACTCTATAAGGGATGAATTACTACCATCTGTTCAAGGAGTGCAAATAACAAATCAGCTCGAAATGGAGTCCCTACTAATAGAAGGGGACTGGGTGGTTAAAGGATTTAGATTCTATTATGTGGTGCTATAGGAATGAAATCAAGAAATTCAATGAGCTTACACAGCAAATGAATATAAGCATACAATGGGTGGGAAGGGCGGCAAATACTTTGGCTGATTGTTTAACCAAGCAAGAGGTTAATAGGGAGCATTTGTTTTGGACACAGTTGTGACTTGCTCTTTGTTTAACCTATGTCTTTGGAGAGGATGCAGCTCATGCCTCTCATAGGGATGCTTGCATTGCTTTGATCTTTTGATTAATAAATCCTTTTTCATTGATAAAAAAGGAGACATCTTGTAATGTACTTAAAGAAAATTTTAGCAATAGTAACTTCTATAGTAAGAAATAGGGCAGCTCTTTAATCAGTAGACATAAGAAATAAGAAGTTAGCCTTTCTATTGCCAAATGGTAAAAAAATCCATAGCATGCAGTCTTTCTGAAAGCTAAAATCATGCCACCTCTAATGAGTGTAATGATTGCAAAGTAGCATCCCTTTTTCTCACTCTCCACTGCTATAGTAGAAATGTGAATGCTGAGATGAATGAGTGAGAATACTAGAAAGCATAGGATCAGAAATGAACTTGTTCAAAGGAACCTAAAAGTAAAGTAGACTAAGAGTTTAGGCACATACAGATAAGACCATTTACATACCAGTGTGTAAAAGTGATCTGTTACAAGTTGAAGGGTCTAGAAGAGCTAGGAGCAGATAAAAAAGGACATAGGGCTAAGTAGTAAAAATGATTTAATGGTCCATGAGTTAAAAATGATGGTCATGGATCCTGAACTGTCTTTTTTGGAATGGTGAAACAGGATTCATATAGCTGACCCGAAATAGTTGGGACAAAGCTTTGATGATGATGGTGACAATTTACAATGGATACAATACTGAACAAAGCAAAATGGTGGTATCGGATTCATGTAGCCAAGCCCATATAGTTGGGGCATGGTTTAGTTGAGTTGATATCTCTCTTTATGCAAGCTTCAAATGTAGAAAATACACTGGATGAACACGAGATAAGCTACAATGTTACCTGGCCTGGGCCAAGCTTAGCAATAATAATATCTTGATGTTTAGGAGCAATTGGATTGTTGGAAAATTCTGGCAATGAAACCTGGCTGCAAGTGAATGCCGTGTATGTTTTCTGTTTCGAAGCTGGATCTGAAGTGTGGCTTTCCATTTCCAGTGGAAGTTCACTCCCATTCGATAACCACTTAAGTTCATCTGATTTCACTGCATTATGTATTTGAATCATACCATTGTTATCATGAGCCAAATTAGAAAAGAATAAAAACAGACAAGGGAAAAAAAAAGACGAACAGTTGATACCATGCACAAGAATTGTACCTGTAAGACGGGGACCCTTTATTTTACATTTAACATGAAGTTTGAAAACTATTGTATTCTTTTCATTTGGAGTATCATTTTCTACAAAGATAAGCTTGCAAATTAGTACATCTAAAAATAGCAGAAACAAAAGTTCAAAAAAAAAACATCTTCATGATATATCTGAGATCAACCTGACATGTACTCAAATAGCCTTGGGTCAACCTTGATCGGAATAAGGCCTAGCCTGTGGGCAAGAACTTCATCTTGAACCACCGATGTATTGTTTGCAATGAGAACTTTCTCAATAGCCATTGTTGGAACCTACATGCAAATAATGGCTAACCAGAATTAGGCAAACACTATAAAATCCCAACAAAATGATGCCACACACATGGTCACTAAATACTAATGCTAGAGAAAGTACAAATAAAAAAGGACATAATAGCATCATAATGTAATTTCAAATATTGGTTGATAAACAAATTTATGGGATTGTGATGAAAACAAGAATTACAGCTTTCACTAATATGAAAAAGAAGGCAAATGGATCAAGAAGAGATGAGGCTAAAATACATGTGGTCGGATATTCAATTGCGCACAAAAAATTTACCCTAGGCATCATGGGGGTTAGTGATTATGATTAAGGTGATCATTTCTAGTACAGGGTGGAAGAAGTAATCCCTTCAGAACTATTACTCATTAGAGACTAAAGAATAAATAACTGGTTCACTTAAAAAGAGTTTATTTTTAAGTGATATACTGGATTTTGCAAGGTTGGGATAGGGCTTAGATGATGATGATGATGATGATGATGATGATGATGATGATGACGATGATGATACTGAATTTTGCAAACAAAATAAAACTTTATTTTGAGTAGTTTAAGACATCTCAAGGTTTGTTGATGATTGAGCTCAGTAGCTCATATTTCTAAAATTCAGAGAATATATAGCAGCCATATCAATTAGGTTCTATTTAGTTGTTAAGTAACTGCAAGGATTTTAGGTTGCTTGATTGCTTCTTCTGTCAATATGAATGACGAGTCCAAAATTTCTTAGTTGTAGTTCTTTCGRAGTGGTGAAAAATAAGTCCACGTCACTGCATTAGGTTGTTTGATACCCATTTCATCAATGTAGAGCCATCACAATAGCAGATTGTTGGAGATAGTAGCAAATACCAATTCAGAGAAGAACCAAAGACGTAAGATGACTGTTTCTTGCCTTAGATCATACCTCCGCTATGAGAATTCTCCTAAATGCATTGGCTAGTGAAGGGTCGATGCCAACCATGTCAAATTCCATATCGTCCTCTGTGAGACGAATTACTTCAACTCTAAAGTCTCGGCAGAACTGGTCCAGTCTCAAGCTATTATCGACTCCAACGGATGCATAAGCACCGGAGTATTGAATAGTTTCTGTCTTCAAGCACAAACACAAAACACCAAGTTGAGTAACCAAAGAATCCAGGAAGTAAATCCCCCCCCAAAAAAAAAAAATAAAATAAAATAAACGAAAGAAAAAAATCTATATATTGAAAAACGTACATGAGTGGGTGCATCAGATGCGCAGAGGACGCGAGTCCTCTGAAGCTCGAGGTGTGGAGGGAGATGGCCTTTTGGAACATCAGGCAAATCCAAAGCTGAAACCCTAGGCATCTTTGATTCTTCTCCACTCTGTATTCTGAACCTGAGCCTGAGAAGTAAGAACTAGCAGAAGTTTGCATTTGATACTTGGTCTTGGGCTGAGAGAACGAAACAAAAATAAACAAGGTGATGCAGATTAGGGCTATAAACGGATCGGATCCATGTGCATCCGCATTCGCATCCAATTATCAAGCATCCGTATCCGCATCCACTTCTAATTATCAAATCGGATTTGGATTTAATCCGCAATCATATTATTGTATTTAAAATATAAAAAAAATAAAAAATAATTATTTTTAACTTATGTATATATAATAAATATATATCATTATGCTATACATATATATAAAATAATAATTTTTTATTAGAATCAGATTTTAATGGATGTAAGTTATGACTCCAAATTCRGGATATCAGATTCAGGGTCAAAAATCTATCGGACTCTCAAAATATAAGGGGATACAATACGTTTAATACAGGATGTATCTAAATATTAAAGCATGGGTATTAAATCATTCAGATATAGATATGAATATGGATATATTTTTGAAATGCATGAATGTGAATAAAAAAAATACATAAACATTTAGTGGAAATGCATATAAATTTCATAAACATATTATTAACATCATATTTAAGGTCAAAATAATCATAATTAATGTATAAATATATGAAAAATGTATATTCTAATAGTATATATAAAAATATATATTACAATTAATATAACGGGATACATGTAAACCATACAATTTTATTGATAACATATCAATTAAGAATGCTAGAATATATTATATTTCTTTTTACAAATTAATACATGGCACAAAGTTATTGGAAAAATTCCCCATTAGTACCTTGTACTTTGGGCCTAGTGCCACTTTAGTCCCCAAACTTTAAAATGCGATAATTTAATACCCAAACTTTCAAAACATGCCAATCCAATACCTATCGCTAATCGGCCATTAAGTGGCATTTGAAAAGACACAATGTCCTTTGAGTGTCATCTAATTTTTTTTATCAACCATCCAAATGTTGATAAAAAATGAACAATCCTAAATCCTTACTTATTCTATTCAAGAAAGTCGGGGTCACATAAGGATATGAAATTGTTCATTTTTTGTCAATATTTAGATGGTTGATAAAGAGAATTAGATGAAACTTAAAGGGCACTTATGTCTTTTCAAATGCCACGTAACGGTTAGTTAATAGGTTGGTTAATGGCAAGTATTGGATTGACACGTTTTGAAAGTTTAGGTACTAAATTGTTGTGTTTTAAAGTTTGGAGACCAAAGTGGCACTAGGCACAAAGTACAAGGTACTAATTAGGAATTTTCCCTATTATTTTCTATTGAAGTTCAAGGTACAAAGCATATGCAACTATTATATGTGAATTATTATATCAATTATTTCTTATTTTACTATTTTCAAATTTTAACCTTAACAGAAAATTTTAAGTAAAATTAAATCTCAAAAGTTTGGTAAACAGTACTTTTATAATTTTAACTTAAAATATATTAAATATATTAAAATTTCTAAGATACATATCATCTAAAAATTCATAATTGTTAATTACTAAATTATTTTTTCCATTAATAATAAATGTATTTATATAAATTTTATGAAATAAAAAAAGGCATTTTTTGATATGAAAGTAGATTAGTAGATTTGACAAATTCAATTTATATTATATTTTCTAGTATTTTGTAAATAATAAATATGTTGCTATTTAATGCAAATTAAATATTAATTAATAATTTATAAAAATTTTAAGATACATATAATGTTTAAATTTATAAATTTTAAGCATTAAAATAATTATTCCATTATTAATGTTTTTATTTGTATAAATTTATTGACATTAAAAACTACATTTTGATATAAATGTGGGTTTGAGAAATTATTTATTCCATTAACTTATAAAATAAAAATTATTGGTATTTTTTCATCTTTAGTTGAAATCGTTGAACATGAATATATTTGTTTCGATTACATTTAGACGTTAGAATTGATAAAATTTATTTTATTTCATTAATTATAATAAGATGAAGGTTGGCCTAGTAGCCTAAAGATGTTTAAAGCTTGTGCGTTGAGAAATTTGTATTCAAATCACAATAGACGTATTTTTTAAAAAATTCAGAAGTGGAAACATGGTCATTGTCGTATCGGTTGATACAACTCGATATGGCCATACGGGCCAATACAAATGCATATCCTCTTCGCTATCCCCCTTGCCTGATACCAATATGATATGCCCCATGTCGGGTTAAACCCTTGGACATATCATATTGAAATTTTGAAGCAAGGAAAGAATTCATGGGGAAAAAAAAAAACAATTTTACAATTTCTTAACCAATTTAGAATTCAACCCAACCCCAACCCTAAGAATTGGGCCTAAATCCCAATGCACTCAGGTTGGGTTTGGGCTCGGGCTCGGGTTCGGGCCAGGTTTTGATTGGTCAATTAACCCACACTAAAAATTGATATACGTGTGTATATGCTTGATTGCATATATGTATAATTTATTAAAAAATATGCATATATACATGTATGCATGCAAATATGTGTTTACATATGCATGTATAATCTGGGCTCGGGTTGGAATAAGGTTGGATCGGGTTTGGGCTGGATTTGGGGCTAGGCCCGAGCCCAACTTGATTTTTTTTGGTATTGAATCACTCGCCTTTGCCCCATAGGACCAAACCGCCCAAGTTGCACCACTAAATAAAATCCATTTTCAGGTTTTATTTTATTTTATTTATTTATTTTTTGTATCACCACCCAAAAGAAATATTTAAAGTACAGGACTTCGTGGGAAGAAATAAATAATAGACAATCTAATGGCAAAGCTTGGTCCAAAGGTGTTATCATCGAGTACAACAGAGACAATAGCTCCCTGAATCAAAATGACGAGAGTATTAGATCCATTCTGATAGAGAATATCATTGGGGGATGGCAGTTGGTTTGCACAATTCTCAACAACTAGGTCTGCTCTTCTCTCATGGTGGAGACCATTGGGGATACAAATGTAATAAAAATAAATTTTGATGGCTGCAGCAGGGGAAATCCAGGCCCATCTGGCATAAGTGGGGATCTAGAGAGACTATAATGGATAAATGGGTGATCATTGCTTTATTTTTCAGGACCCATAGGCCGTGGAAATTTAACAGGGGGAAAATTTGTAGCAGGGCTACAAGAATTGATGCTTGTCAAGTAAATAGAGACAGTAAAAGGTAGGTGGCCGCAGCCAGCCTAAGCTGAGAGATGGTTGTCATCTTTGTAAATACCTTATTCTTTTAATGAAAGAACAAATTTGCATAAAATGATTATCCAAGATGTATTCAGCAATGAATGTGCAATTCATAGGTTTATAGGTTTGCTTACTTGCTTTATATTTTATAATTCAAAAGGAAAAACAATGATAAGATTAAAAAGTTGCAACAAGTTGGTCTAATTGATTTCTGGCGCAAGGTAGAAGATTAGATAGTCATGGCTACTTTTGCTACAGTCTCAGATTCTCAGCAGTGGAAGACTCCAAGGAGAATTCATACTGACATGTTCTGACCTGTAAAACATAAATACGAAATTAGGAAAAGGGGAGAGGTAACACAAAGCAACAGTATTATCCATAAGAGCTTCAAGGAAAAGAAAGAAGAGGTACAGATAGAAAGAGCATTAAAAAATAAAAATTGATTACATCCATAAACCCAACACAAATAGATCAATGTCTTAATTAGAAGACATTTAACTAGTAATTGAAAATTTTTCTGAGTTCAGGTCTTCTACCCAGAAGTATGCTACCCACACTACCCAGAAGACAACAGCTACACATTGGGAACATCTCCTCTACTTGTATATTGAACTCCGGATCTGCTATCCACAAGACAACATCTCCCCATGAATAACAACATACAAGTGTTGGTAGACTTGTGGATAGCAGATACTTGCTTCTTCCAATGTGTCTTTACTTGCAAACCACATCCAAAGAAGTTAAGGTTTTTCTCCTTTTTTTCTTTAATTATTCTCTTTTGAAAGCTAGAAGAATGAAGATCCAGATTACAGGTGGAGATTCAGATAAAAAAAAGTTAAATAGCAAGTCAATTATTGCTCTTAACTGGTGGAATTATAAACCAATAGTATGAGAATTAACTATAATTTAAGGAGATAAAAGAGTTCTATTTTTTTTTTAATTTTCCTTTCAATACCCCCACCAAGAAAGAGAGCATTAAATCATTTGTGTTTGTTTGTCTATGCTATCCACATTAGAAAATGCAATGAGCCAGCACAGCAGCACTTTATGGCAGCATTGCCAGCTTCCTCACAAACAACACTTGATAGGAAACGGTAAGTTTCATTAAATTTAGATAATCTTTTAAGGATACACAGGTCCAATCCCTAATACTAGGGATTTCGACCCCCCAAAAGTTTACTATTACAATTCAGCCCAGATTAATTCTCCCCTTGTTTGGCTAGAGAGTCATCCAAACCATTTGCTGACCTTCTAACCCATCTAATCAGTAGTCCTATCTCTCTTGAAAGGCTTGTAATCTCCTCAAGCTCTGCCTGTGAGTCCAAAGCCCCGTAGTACCTGTTTGCAGCTACCCTATCACCGATTTTGAGTCCCCTTCGATTTCAATCTGTTGAAGACCCAACTATTTTACCAATCCCAACTCTAGTTCTAGGACCATTAGAGCCATATTACTGGATTTGATGATGCGATATCCAGAAGCCAGCCATTGATTTGAATCTCCAAATAGATATTAACATCAAACAGAGGTATAGAGATACATCTAGACAGGCCTTATTGAAAAAGAAAGAAAGAAAAAGTAAAAAAAAAAAAAAAAAACGAGAAATGGAAAAGAAAGGAATTCTGTATATTTACCTCTGCTTCCTTCTTTCTACTCTCTTAGGTGGCCTATCAACTCCATTATTAGCCTTAAACAAAAGCAGTTAAATGAGGGCCCAACATGCCAAAATAACACATCGAAGTATTCCATTAAACTCTGGAACACTGTGAAGACAAACCTGGTGTATTGGATGATATAAAACCACCTTTCCAGAAGCATTATTGACAATGATCACACCATCCCACAAAAACCATGCCGGTTCAGATGATGTAAAATCCCTACATAATGTTTTCCATTGGAAGGAAAACTACCTAACCTAACTCTGTTTGAGACTGAGTTCTACTGGGGGTTGGGGGCATTTTGGAAAGCTAATTGACATGGAATTTAAGTCGCAAAAACAATATCTAATCTTAAATAGCACAATTCTGTCTCTAAAGGGGAAAAAACCGAGCCAAGACTAAACAATCAAAGTACCAAACTATAAACATTGAATTAGAGCTCATGGATTGAAATTGGAGTAATTTAAAATAGAAGATGGAATTGGTTGAAAAAGGGAATTTTTTTTGTAAGATGGTACAATCATCATTTCAATGTAGATTGCTTATGGAATCAATAACCAGATCCTAGATGGCTTCATATGACCAGATACCTGAACCCTTGTTGGTACAGATCATAAGTGATCACCAACTGAGAAGGCCACCAACTGAGGTTTGATAGCACATTCACATAGGACCAGCATACAACATAGAATGAAATAAAGCAGAAAGAAAATTGTCTTTTACCTGAACTTCCTTCTTTCCTTTTCTCGCTTAGGTTTCCTATCTATTCCACTGTTAGTGTTGAGAGAAAGCGGCGAGACAAGGGTCCGAACGTAACCAAGTATTCTTTTAAATTCCCGATCCCAAGCATTTGGAAGCGGAAGAACCCTTTCGCGTATCGGGTGATACAAAACCACCTCTCCAGAAGCATTCTTGAGAAAAATCTCCCCATCCCTCACAAACCACGTTGGTTCATACGATTCTAAACCCCTAGCTATTGCTCGCGATTGGTAAGAGAACCGTCTAATCCAGGACTCTTTCTTCCCGTAATCTTCCATTATCCAAATGTCAATCCTTTCCCCAAGAACAGAATGAAATGCACAGAGGCATCCTCTCAACACCCCCAATTGAAAGGAATCTTTATCAACCTCTCCTATGTCGGGCGGCGGGAGCTCCCAGAAAGCCTCGTCCTCAAGATCGAAATAGACAATGAGACTCATCACACCCACCGGAATTAGGCGAATCGCCGCCCAGTGAATAGCTCCATGTAAAAGAAGTCCACCAGAACGACGGTCAATTTGGAAAGAGACGTCTTCCCCAATCTTTCTCCACGAATCAGTTCCGAGCGTATGCACCAGAATTATGGATCGATTGACTCCTGGTCTTCTTGAAATATCAAGAGTATGAATAATTTTTACGACTTTGTATTCGTCAAGGGCGGAGGTGTAGCCGAAGGCCGAAACATCATTCATTAGTAGGGAGGATGGAGGAAGCTCAAAAGGGGCTTCCGGCAACTTAATGTAATCTCCGATATATGGGTTCCATACAATCAAGTCTTCTAGGGTGTCATCGTATGTCTCGTTGGCCAAGCACACCAACCCATTACAGGAACCCGCTACCCATGGGCATCTGAAAGAATCCTGAAACGGCAAATCGAATTTTCTCGACGACCCATCATGCATTGCTGTCTCAGAACCATCATCTACGTGATAGACAATTCCAGAAGAGACGACGATGAAATTAGAGGATCCGCCATGGTCGTTGGGGGTGGTAATGCTTTCAAGTACTCGGTTCAGATGTTGTTTGACGAATCGAGGGTCGCTGATTAAGGCGAACCATGATTTGCAGACGCACTTAGATCGCAGTAGTGACTTCACGGGAAGTCTACAGAGAATGTCGAAGATGACTTCTTCAGGGAGGCTTCTCGACGACATGGCGATGACGAGTACTGTTGGGTTAGGAACTTAGGCGGTTGTTCTTCGCTCCTTTTCAGGAAGACTATACGAAGCAACTGCTTTTAACAGTTAACCTCCTCGTCTGTAGATTCTGACAACTTCTTAATCCTCCCTGTAATTTATGATCTCTTCAAAAACCTCTCCTTGTATTGCAGAAATATGATACAGAGTCCCCTTCCGTTAATTTGACGTTAGAATCTTAACCGAAAAATAAAAGTTTATACCTGAAATACTGTCAATGGATCGGATTTACCCAACAGAACCGAACCGACCGGACCAATTATGATGGCTCTGTCGTTCTGGTCTCCTTTTGTCTTGATTAATAATTGGGTCGGGATCTAATAATATAAAGATCTCTGAATTTTGTAACATTCTTCATTTTTGTTAGATTTTATATCTAAAAAGGATAAATTTCATAAATAAAATACAAAATAATAAATTTTGATTAAAGACGCTTGTTTTATTAACAAATTAACAGTTCACTATTTTAATTTGAACAAGACCCAATCTATTGACAGCTCTAATTTAAAGGTGATTTCAACGAGAATTATAAGGACCTGGGTTTTCATTGGCCTTGTCCTTATTCTGTTATTCATGTCTCAATGGTTTCTGAAGACACCTGATGGAATTGGGTGAATACAAATACAACAGAGGAGCCGATCTCTTACTAGTAAAAAAACCATTCCAACATGTTCAGCATATCTATATTTACACATCTCATACATGGGAATTCACATTGGGTGAATATTATATGTTCAAACAGATGCCCCACATGCGCATCTCAGAGTGCATTGGAAACATCTTTTAAAGTTGTCATTGGGAGATGTTCCTAATGTTGGAGAAAATGGGGTCACTGTAATTTTGGAGGAGAAGCTCTGAGGTGCATCTGTTTTTAGAATGTTATTTGCCCCCATTCAGTTTTACTGAGTTTGCTGTTGGGTTATAGACAAATTTGTTCCCAGGAGACAACAGAGCCTTAGGCGAGAATCTGCAACCAGCAAAATTGTGCCTCTTGATCACATCCGATCGAATCGTGACCGTTGATCTCATCAACGATGATCAATGGTCAACAACGAGCAAAGTGCACCTCTAAAGCGCCTCATTGCGCCGCACACACACGTGCGCGTGCATTGCACGATATCGAATCCCCATACTCTCCTCTACTAATTCTAAGGAGTGTAAATCAGTTTCTATTGAAATACTAGAAACAAAACTTATAATTTTCCAATGTGGGACAAGTTCAAAACTGGGTTTTGTAAGAGAAAAACTGATTTTTCAATCAAGTGTGCAAGTACAATTTCTCATGTAATTGACCAATCAAACCCATTGGATTTAATCTCTTATGAGATTAAAATCTAACACCTAATATATGGTTGAGATATATTGTAGGGCGCAGATGTGAATTCCATATATGACTGATTCTAGTCTTATAGGAGATGTGTAAACCCACCTGTATGAAATGCGTGTACACAGATAGATCATATTGGAATGGTTTTTTGTTGGAAAGAGATCCCAATTCACAATGGAAGACATGGGTGTCGGCAATGTGAATAGCAGGGGATTATTTCTAAAATATTAATATTTTGTTTTCATTTGTTTTGGAAATTATCGTATCAGCTAAAAAGTTTGGTTTTGTTTAAAAAAATAATACATGTTTTTAATATCATTAAGATAATAATTTTTTAAAACAAAAAAATTCAGCATAATATTAAATAACTAGATGAAAATATATACTCTAAATCAGAAATTCAAGAGCGTATTTTTTAAGCCAAGAGCATTCTTTTTATTTTAGTCTTCGAAACAAAAATACATATATAACCAAGAACATGTTTATTGTGTTTTTATTTTAAGAACTAATTTATTTTTAAATCAATCAGTTTTATCTTATTTATGAAACTCACAACAAAGAAAAACAATTCACATTGGAAAACATCCCCATTAATCGTAGAACTTAGGATGAGATCAGCAATCAATCTCATGTTATTAAGGATTATTTTTTTAAAACTTTGATTTTTCATAGGGAAAATTCCCGATTAGTACCCTGAACTTTGGGCCTAGTGTCACTTTGGTCCCCAAACTTTAAAATGCGATAATTCAGTAGTCAAACTTTCAAAACATGCCAATCCAGTATTTGTTGTTAAGTAGTCTTTTAACCAGCTGTTAAGTGGCAGTTGAAAAGACACAAAATGACCTTCGAGTGTCCTTGCCTCTTTTATTCAAAAAAGTTGGAGTTATGTTTCAATGGGAATTTTGATGACTCCAACTTTCTTGAATAGAAAAAGCAAGGATTTTGGACCATTCATTTCTCATCAACATTTGGATGGTTGATAAAGAGAATTAGATGATACTTGAAGGGCATTTGTGCATTTTCAAATGTCACTTAATGGATTGGTTAAGGATAGGCATTGAATTGGCACATTTTGAAAGTTTGGATAATGAATTGTCACATTTTGAAGTTCGAGAACCAAAATGATAATAGGCCCAAAGTACAAGATATTAATCGGGAATTTTCCTTTTTTCATAATATAACCTTAATAAAATAACAATAAAACAATAAATTATTTATATATTAATAAATCAAATATTTTTAATTAAAAGTGTTTTGTATATTATCTATCAAATTTACCATACAAAATATAATGAAAATTATAAAAATAAGAACCTTTACATATTATTAATAAAATAATCAGTTTGGATCTCAATAACTTAGAATAAGCAAGAACTAGAACCACGGAGGCACGGACTAAATCTCAAAATCAGAACCGATGTCGGGGGTTCTAGAGAGATCAAACTACATGGGAGGTTAAAGCAATTGCCAAGAGGCAACAATTTAAGTAAATTTACCAAAATGTTGCCCTGTGCTTTTACTTGCTAGAAAAGATAAGAATACAAGGCATATCTTTTTAAATACTCAAGAAGGATATGTTATTTAAATCATCTGTCAGAGTATCAGGGCCGTTCTTCGGGTACTATACAACGTTTTCAAGATATTTGTCCCTTTGTGCTCTATGGGGTCGTAGCCATCACGGTTAGTCGGTTATTGGCACGGGGACGGATTTGAGGACCGTTGGTAAGAAGATCACTTTAAGCTGTTTGGAAAAAGGGAAAAAACAGGACTGGTTTGGGAGCCTCTCCACATTGACAATATAACTAATTCCGGAGAAGTCATATCTGCCCCCACAGAATCATTTTACATCACATTCTAAAATATCTCTCAATGATAAATATGGAAAATGTTCTGAGATATGCATATGGGGTGTTTTTGGGGCGAGTTCTGTAAGGGCAGATGTAAACTCAATTCATGTCCTCATTTGTCTTTCAATTATAAGGATGATAAGTGTAAATATTGTTTTACTTCACACTCATGATTAAATGTCACTCACAGCAGAGTACCAAAACAGCCAAAGTTTTTTCATGGGTGACCATTGATGCTTGATTGTTAATTGTTAGGGGTGCAAATAGATCGAATTTCGGAGTCTGATTCTGTTTTGTGATATCCTCATTTTGGATTTTCGGATTGGATTGAGTGATCGAATCCGATTAAAATGGACCAAATTTGGATCACTCTACAACCGATCCAAAAGGAATCCCATCTGATAATATAATATGTTATTTATTTATGGACAAATTATAAAGATTCCCTTGAACTTTGGCCATTAGACAAAGATTCCGTTAGCATCCTATTCGTTAACTTTGAAAAAGATTCGTTTAAAAATTTTAAATGCCCAAACTACCCTTTTATACTGTTCATTGTCTTCTCGATTCAACCTCAAAACTAACTTCAAGCACTCTACACCATACCAAAGGGTTGGAAAGTTTTTGCATCGTTTTGGGCTGTGCATCTGGACGAAAACCACTATAAAGACGCTCGAACCTTTAATCCCTGGAGATGGCAGCAGGTCCCCCACATCTCTCCCTCTCTGTTGAATTCATTCATTTATTTATTTCAATGAAATAATGAGAGAGACATTAGTAATATAAAAAATATAATTGAAATAGAGTAATACGGGGGGAGTAGCAACAGCGACCGGGGAATCTGTTTACGCAATTCGGCGGAGGCCCACGTCTTTTTCCAGGGTATGAGTTTGCTTGAGTCGAGATCTCAGTCTTCCTCCACCACCTCATCACCCACTTCAGGTATGATTTATACATGCACCAGGAAAAGAAAAAAGATACTTTTCTGCGTTTCAGTTTCTGGGTTTTCAAAGATTAACTTATTAATCGTTAAACAAATAATTGCAGCTGGGCTCCGGCCGACGAAGACAAGTTGGTTTTCTTCCCGACCACCAGGACTCTCAAGCGATATCCGATCAACGTCTAGCGCAGCAAACACAGAAGAAGAAGAAGAAAAGAGAAAAAACATGAAATGTAACAGAGAAATAGAATAGGAAGGGAAATATCAGAATTCTAGAAGATAGAAATAATGCTCTATTGTAATTCTGGTTCCACCTTGATAAGAAAGAATAAAATAAGATCAGGTGTCATAAACAATTAACCAATAAATTGGAATCATAAACGTGGTAGCAAATGAGGTATCATTTATCAAAACTCATGAATAGGCTTTGATTGATCAAAACTCTTTCCATGTTATATCTTTCCCGTATCATAGATTTTCCCATTTTATTAACATATAAATATATTTACTATTTACTATCTTCTTATTAGTGTTATATGATCAAAATTTGAAGTTTTAAATTGTTATATTACAGAAAATTATAAATATCAGAAATATAATTAGGCCTAATTGAGCCAAATCCAATTAATCCGGTTCAACTGGATCTGCATGGTTATCTTATCGGTCTGAAACTGGCTCCACCCTGTCCCAGACCAGATCCGACCCATCGACAGCTCTTTAAAGGATTCGGATCTGATGTACCGAGATTTGAATCCAATGCAATTGATAGGGATTCGAATAGAATCTTAAATATTGGATTTTACTGGACTCATATTCAATCCAAATATTACATATCATTTATAATTAATAAAATAAAATATATTTTTTAAAGCTAAAATCATATTTCAT